ACAGGGCAGAGCCCTAGAAACCCACAAGCAGGAATTGGTCCCTTTGTCTGGTCTGATGGGAGCAGGGCCCCGGAACCCAGGAACAAGAACTGGTTGCCTCATGGAGTCTGACTGCGCAGGCCCGGGGATGCATGGGTAGGGATTTGTCTCCTTGTGCAATACGTCAGGACAGGGTGTATCTGCGGGTAAGCATCAATCCTCTTGTGGGGGGCTGACCAGGGCAGGACCCTGAGACACCCAGGCAGGAATTGGTGCCCTGCTGGGGTGTGATGAGGCAGGGCCCTGGAATGCACAGGGAGGAAGCAGTCCCCTTGTAGGGTCCAACAGGGCAGGGCTGTGGGACCCATAGGCAGAAATTGGTCCTCTCATGGGACTGACTGTTAGGGCCCTTGACACTGCAGACGCAATAGGTCCCCTTTTTGGGTGTGACGGTGGTGGAGGCCTGGGAGCAGCAGGCAGGAATTGCTCCCCTTGTGGGGTGTGACGGGGCAGGGCACTGGGACCCGCGGGCGGGAATCGCTCCCCTCGTGGGATGTGACGGGGCAGGGCGCTGGGACCCGCGGGGGGGGAATCGCTCCCCTCGTGGGGTATGACGGGGCAGGGCGCTGGGACCCGGAGGGGGGGGAATCGCTCCCCTCGTGGGGTGTGACGGGGCAGGGCGCTGGGACCCGCGGGGGGGGAATCGCTCCCCTCGTGGGGTATGACGGGGCAGGGCGCTGGGACCCGGAGGGGGGGGGAATCGCTCCCTTCCTGATCTGTCCAGTTTTCGCGCCCATCCCCCACCTGTGTCTCCTTCCTTCCGGGCAGAAGAGGTAGGATGGCGGTGGGGGCGGCGCGAGGCCCTGCCGCGTGACAAGCTGAGCCGGCGGCACGTGGCCCGGACCATAACAAACTGGAGGGTGGGCGGAGAGCCGGCAGCAACTCGCTCATTGGCAGAGGCGGGCTGCGGCTGGAGCAGCGGCGCGGGCCGGGGATTGGTCAGCGCGCAGTGGGCGTGGCCTCCAGAGCCGGCGGCTGGTGCAGCAAGTGGGGGCGGCGCTAGCGGGGCTCGCGCTGGGCCGCTGCCGCGAGGCAGGGTCGCGCTCGCTCCGCCCCGCTGTGCTGTCAGATGCCACAGTCCCCACCCCAATACAACCGTGTCCCCCCGGGACCCACACATAGCCCCGCCCCAGCCCTGTCCCCACCCACCCCAACACAGCCCCTCCCCTTCACCCCAACACAGCCCTGTCCCCACCCATACACCCCTACACCGCCCTGTGACCACCCACCCCCATTCACCCCAACACAGCCCCTCCCCTTCACCCCAACACAGCCCCTCCCCTTCACCCCAACACAGCCCTGTCCCCACCCCTACACAGCCCCACCACCACTCCTC